TCGAACCCACCACCCTTGGTATATGGGGCTAGCGCCCTAACAACTGAGCCACAAGTGTCGCCCAAACTTCTTCACTCTTAACATTTAGTGCACCCCAATATAAGTATTGCTTAAATGCCAATTTTTACAAAAAATGTACTGGCCAATCTCCCAAATTCAGTGGACACAGTGATCTAAGAACACAGTGCTGTCCTCCTGACCAGGGAAGGGGCCTTTTACTCCAAGCTTGCATCTATGGACAAGCCCCTCGTGGAGTAGACAGTAAGGTCCCAGGCGTGGACAGTTGGACAGTGACATTATATACAGCTCAGCCATATCAGTTCTGGTGATCAGGTCTCAGCCAGCTTACATTTGTTTTAAGGAGGTAGAAGAATACCTTAATGCCAAAAAAAGTGTGTAAAAAGGGCTGAAAATTAAGAAATGGGAAATTTGGGCCAGTACAATGGCTTAGGCCTATAATCCCAGCACTCTGGGAGGCCAAGGCAAGTGGATCACCTGAGCTCTTTAAAAAGAGCTAACAACCCTCTTTAAAAATGCTAATATCCAGGCATTCCCTGTGGCTCAAAATGGTAGGGCCCCAGTCCTATATGCTGGAGGTGGGGGGTTCAAACCCAGCCACAGCCAAAAAAAAAAGTTTAAAAATGCTAACAACCAATAAGGTTATTGTTAAACTCCTCAGAGCAGAGAACCACTATCTTTAAGGTGACATTGGACATCTCCATCTATGTGCTGTTTTAAACAGATTTGTCATATTTCTAATTTGTGGGCTTTCCCTTATTTACAGATTTATGAACTCGAATATTCTTTTTTCTTTTTTTGCCTCAGCCTCCCAAGTAGCTGGGACTACAGGTTCCTGCTACAATACCAGGCTATTTTTTGGTTATATCTGTCATTGCTGTTTGGCAAACCCAGGCCAGGTTCAAACCCGCTAGCTCCAGTGTATGTGGCTGACACCCTAGCCGCTGAGCTACAGGTGCTAAGCTGAACTTGAACATTTTTTTAAAAATCACATTACGACCCGGGCACAGTGGCTCATGCCTATAATCTTAGCAATCTAGGAGGCCAAGGCATGTGGACTGCTTGAGCTCAGGAGTTCAAGACCAGCCCGAGCAAGAGTAAGACTCCATCTCTAAAACTAGTGAAGTGTTATGACAGGTGCCTATAGTGCCAGCTACTTGGGAAGCTGAGGCAAGAGGGTCACTTGAGCCCAAGAGTTTGAGTTTGCTGTAAACTATGATGCCACAGCACTCCATTGAGGGTGACAAAGTGAGACTTTGTCTCAAAAAAAGAAAAAAGTCATATTATGTTATTTAACTTCAGGTTTTTAAAAAACTTTCCTAAGTTTTCCAGATTTCAAACAGGGTTATCAGTGAGTCTTCCCTTTGCTGGCCCAAACACCTGGGCAGAGAAGGCAGCAAGATTTCCTAGGCGTGATTGGCTTAAGTGTGCCTAATTCTTTTTTTTTTTTT